CGTCGGGTTGGCAGGTCTGAGGTCGTCACTGGGCGACGCGAAGGTCGGTCGTCCGACCCGGGTCGGCGTTTTTGGCGCTCAGTGAAGAAACAACCAGCCGAGGACAAACCACTTGTTTCCACAAACTTCTAGTTTCTGCACTGTTACCATGTTCGTTCATAGATGTAGAAAGCATGAAAGACTCTCAAATTTGACCTCGTCAAGCCAGACATTTGCCGCGCCCAAGGCTGTGCGCCATTCCTGCATCGTGCCATTCCTGATTTGCAGACTCTTCAAGGACGATTACTTCGATGCCCATCGAACATTTGAGTGAGGACCCAGTGAGGGGCGGGAAATCAAAAAGGAGCGGCTTGAGCTGGGTTTTGGTGTCTTGAATCAATCGAACGCCGGGTTTGGTCCACAGCACCTGCCAAAGCCACCAAGCGAAATCCGTGTCCAACGGCGGGCGGTTGGTTGGTCTTGCTCATCCTTTGCTACGACTTGAAGCGATGCTGTCCTGTCTGCAGTTCTTGGCCGCAAGCAGCGCCACCTTGGGCTGTCTTGTTGTCCTCCATCATCTCAAGACGCTCTACTGCCCGGTGGCTACTGGTTACGAGATGGAGCTTGTACCACTCTTTCAAGGGAGTTGCTGCTTGCTTCTCCGGAATGCCGTCGCTGGCCTTTCAGACCCTTCGCTGTTCCACAGGCCTTCACGTGGACAGTCCCATGTTTGGAACTAAATGGTTTGTTGAAGAACACCCTCATGAATGTAGAAGAGATTTGTAGGATACAGGTTTATTATTACTATTATTGTTATTATATATATATTATTGTTATTCTTATTTTTTTTAAATTAAAGGCCTTCTATTTTTTCCGGTCAAGCCTGGTTCGGAACTGAGCCTACCAAGCTCGAAGCTGTGACAGCTTCCGCGCACACGCTTCCCAAAACGACAGAACTCCAAACACCACGAGCAACGTGTGACCAGGACGACGTCCACAACCCCGAGCCGGACCTCCCAACATCGCCAGCTGGCATCACCGTTCGGTCTTGGGCAACCAGGACGACCCCCTTTTCGTTGGCAGATGTCTGCGGTCAACGGTCAAAGGGTCTTCGCCGCTGGCTGCCTCCTCCCCGTCTGCGACCGAAAGTTCCAAATGCTTCGAAGGTCCCATGCCTGGTTGATCATCCATGATCATCCCAGGTTTTCCGCACCAAAAACGTCTGGTTTGCTCTCTCGCGCCTCCCAACCCGCCCCGCCCCGAAACGCCTCCTTCCGTTCCGACGGCCCGACTGCGCCCACAACGACGCAGAAGGTGTCGCCTTGGTGTGGAGCTGTCTGGCGCTGGTTTGCAGGCCTCCAGTCGACTCCATTTTTGGTCGAAGATGCAGAAGTGTGTGTATTGTGGCCGTGTGCAAGACCTGCGGCCCCCCAATCGGCAGCTGCAGCTTTGCCTCCAATGCGCAACTCCAGTGGTTGCTCCACCCCTCCAGAAAGGCCAGCAACAACCGCAGCGAAAGGCAAGCAGCCACAACTGAGACTCATAAAGGTTTTGTTCTTTGTGCATGTGAAGGATGTGCCTCTATTTGGTGCGTCTTCCGCAGCTTGGCATCAGCGTGTTGTCATGCGTTTGGTTTCTGTGCCAGGTATATAAGAGAGTGGCTCACTCGTTGAGTGCTGTGGGCAACTTGTACTGCTGCACCGTGACTGATACATCCAATGACCATGACACTTAACCAACATGACTGGGACACGCATGACATGACCAACATTGACACGGTCAACACATGACTGGGGACACCATCAAGGAGACATCCAATGACCATGACCCTGGCACTGTCAGAACTGCGACACATCGTGCCCACCGATGACGGGACACAGTGACTGACCACCAAGAAACAATTCGTTCATGACAGCATCTAAAATTCATGTGTAATCAATTAATTATGCCTTCCGTATTAGCTATATAGATGCACCTGGTATTCGCAGACGTACTTTTTGGAACCAATGCAGCCAGCCTGCACAGGCACACACACAATACCCACACCCACAAAGACTGCGTGAGGCCACGAGTTGTGTCCGTGGTCATCCTCCTTGGACAAGGGAGTCTCCACATAGTTTGCTGCCGTGACCGGTGTCTTCTAGTTTGCTTTCCTTTTGGGAAGCGACTTCTAACATTTTGTTCGTCGCGCAGAACATGTCCGTTTTTATAGCGGCGCCGTTGCGTGATTCGCTTCGAGTCTTCGAGTGCCTTCAAGTCTTCAAGGTGCATCTCCAGTAAGACCCGAACTCCGCGCTGCCAACATCGTGCTGTTTGATCCGTCTTCGATGGAACGAAGACCTGCCGGTGAGGATGTCCCCATTGAGACGGATGCCTCCATGATGTCCTCGCCGTCGCCGCGGCGCCGCGTCTCTTGTCTCCCACCGGCGGGGAACGCAACGGCACCGGCGCCGTTGCCGCGACGTGTGCGACGACGGTGGCGATCCTTGGTCGACGCGGAGTCAAAAGGGATCCTCCACAGCATCTCCTCAGCATCTCCTTTGGTGCTGATTGGGCGTGTTTTGAGGTGGCTTCGCTCAGTTCAGGCCTGTTCCATGACCTGAGTTCCAACACTTTCCGGTGGCTTAAATGAATTAGCCTTTACCGAACCAACTAAGGATGTTACACTACAAAAACCAGTTCAACCATTTTTTGAATGGTCTTGGAAGTCTAGGGGGCACGAGAAAAGGACACTTTAGCAATGTGCTGGTGAGGCCAGGGCTGGAGGCCAGGACGGAACAGCAGCAGCAGCCCCATCGGCCAAGCTATAGAAAACGCCAATGACTTTCCTCTATCTCTATGAAATGGATTTTGGACCCTCATTTTATAGAGAGTATATACATGGTTTTGGATTATCCAATATCCAAATATCATTGGAAATCATTTTGAAAAGGAGATTATGTATGTGGGATGGTGTCGCCAAGGAACACTTTACAGACCCCGGTACATGCGTATCATGATGTTTAGAAGGGCATTTTAAAGAAACAATATGTATCTGGATGCTTCTAGGCTCTTTCCTCTCCAGTTTTTTCTAGGTTCTCTATAGAATGCCTTGCCAGGGTGTCGGTGTCAAGGATTGGATTTGCCCTGTTTTGCGTGATCTTTGTTCTATATATCATGGAGGTGATTATATATACACATAGGATTTTGAATGTCAGGACCCAGCCCTCCTCACTTTATAGCGTTCATTTTATAGAGTCAATATGTTTGTGTCTGCTTGTCTTTTTGCAATCGCTAGTGGCATCCTATAGAGAACGCCTAGTGCACCATTTTATAGGCATTATATCCCTAGCCCCCTCATTTTATAGACGCAACTTCTCCAGAAAACCTGGAAAGACATCCGGCCCATCATTCACGACAACAAGTGCGCTTCTTTGCAAGGCCATGTCAATTTCCAATGTCATATCCAGCATAACACCACGGCCCACGTGCTGCAGCGAGATGTGCCCACATGCGTGCAAGGATAACGCCGCAACAAAAAAAAACCAGGGAACCTGCTCCGGAGCCTGCCAGCACATGAGCACGACATCTTGACCTCACGTCAAGATCTCACCATGTCACACGTTTGGGTGATTGTGCTAGCATGTCAAATTCATGCATGACAACATGCCGGAATGATGGCAACATGTCGACACTAGACGACATGTCGACACTAGACAGCGACGATGTCGACATGACAACATGACAGTGTGCTGGCATCACAGCATGTCAGCATATTTCATCCGCGGCTAGCTCCCAGAACCGGCCTTGGACCCCAACTCTTAAAATATGCGAAAAGAAGTGCTGCCGAATGTCGTAAGCTGCCGCAAAGAAAAGTGTATGCACCAACAGGAACACAAACATCGTTGACATTGTTGCGCCTGGGGCTTCGTGTCCGCCATGACGTGGCCAAACATAATGATCCGCTCCGCTGTTCTTGCTGCAGTTTCGTGGACGACGTGCTTGTTTCTGACCATTGTGTTCGCGACTTGTTTCACTACTTGGGCCTCCTGGGCCGTCTCACTTCATTTTTGGTGTCACCCCCGCTTTCACCTCGACTCGCTGTGGCTTTGCCTGTGGGAGGAATCAAAAATCACTACGCACCGTGGACAAGCACAATTTTCCAACTTTCCCTTCCCAATCGCGGTCTCGCTTCGGCTCTTGCCAATCATATCATTCCAAATGCCACCTCCATCCACTCTCTTTCCACTACGAGTTGGCGCAGGACCACAGTGCTGAACCACAAACTGCGTTTGTCCAGTTGGCCCTGAAGCCGCCATACCGGGCACCAATTTTGGCCAGCCAACACACTGGAGAATGGGGACATGCAAGCAAACACACTAGACGATGCGAATTTTGATCCATGTTGTGAAGCGCGTGCGCCTGCGTGCGGGGTGCCGGCATGACAATCCATGGTGGTCCGTGTGTCCATTCCCGGATGTGCCCCCGCGCCCAACCAGAGAGTAGTTTTTTTTAGCAGTCTTGTTTTTCCACCATTTTCCAGCTTTGTGTGGTGTTTTCCAGCTTCGGGTGGTGTTGCCCACCTTGAACACAGATGTTTGTCACCATGTGCAGGCCTAAACATAATGGCCTCTTGATGCGGTGAGCAGGCGCGTTTTCGCGTGGCCGAGGCAAACACAAAAGATCAAATCCAGGAGGGGGAAAAGGTGTGCGCACGAAGGAAGGAGGAGAGGAACAAACACTTGTGGGCATTGTTGTTTGCAGGGTAGGCGCGCAAAACTGAAGCAAAGGAATGAGGACAGAACTGTTGGTAAAGCTGACAGCAGTGACAAAGGGAACTACCAAAACCGCAGTTGCAGCAGAAGCAGCATTGCCCCTCATGGCTGGCGGATCAGGACGGACAGGTGCCCGTTCGAGCAGTGCAAAACTGTCAGAACTGCAGGCAGCTTCAAAATCTTTTCAAGATGCTACAGCCGTTCAGACCCGCATAGCTTCATGACGTGGAAATTCATTTTCACATCAGGGTTGGGTGTTGGAGAATAAAAGAACCAGGCAATCCTAGACAAGGTGGAGCAATTTGACAGCATCCTGTCGGCGTACTTTCCCTCAGCGTCAAGTTGTTTTCCACCTTGATTACCTACATGCTATGCAGCCCGATGTGTTGTTCAAGGAGCTCACGACGTTCTGGACGGAAACTCCGGCGATTGGGGTCGGCAGGGTTGTTTTGAGTGCAATTGCAAGCGGCTTTGAACCACAGTTTCCGCATTGCAGTTTGTTCGACAAAAATCTCGGCAGAGGCCCCCCGTGCACCGAAACGTAAATTTTTTCCAAGGCCAAAAACAATTCTAGTGTGGAATTGCCATGGACGAGGAAAGCCTTGGTTCTTCCTTGGACCGTTGCACCTTTGTCGAAGCCATGGACTCTTGGCGCAACAATGCACAAAGCAGAAATACATTTGTTTGCTTTGTCTAATGTTGAGGCATGTTCCCGCAGGTCTCCGCACCGCTGCCGCTGCCGGGTGGCGCCGCCGCTGGTGGGACCTCCTCGGCGTCGCCATCCAGCGCACCTTGTGCCCCACGGTGCTGGGGGACGACTGGCGCGCGCCGCACTGCCCCAATGGCTCCGCAGAACTCCCCCTCGGGGAGCTCCTTGCGCTTGCTGGGGCCCCCGCGCCTAGTCGACTACCTCTGCGGCCGTGAGCCGGGAATGCCTGGCTGTACATAGCGTGGACGCTGCTTATGCCGGAAGGGGAAAAAACACCCAACACCACAACCAACAACACGATCACACGTATGAAAACTGCGAAACTGTAGGGGTTTGATGTTTCACGGTGTTTGATGATGACGGATATGTTGATCCATTATGAGGCTATGTTGAACACACACACAAAACACCGCGCCATATCATGGACGGACCTCAGAAGAACAATTGAAAGAAACTGAGGGGGAGAACCTGAGTGAGTGGACGAAGATGAAGCAGCATTGTGGGGCAAAAGCTTTTCAGATGTTCCAGAATGGTGAATTTTCAGATAGTGATGGCCCAGCGCCATGGAATCAATTTTCAGTACCATGGCCACGTCTTAATGGAGCCGGAAGAGGAGGAAAAGTGACAGAATAGAAAAGAAAAGAACAGGCCACCGGAGACTAGAGAAGAAAATTCATCAGCTGGATGGAACGAAACAAGTGAAGTGAACACAAACATCGAAGGCAACACACAAACGGCTGCGTGCCAAGAAGGTGTGCCGGAAAATTTCTAGTGTACTCCAGCATCGTGGAAGTTGATGTACGATTTTGGATGCTCTAGCGTTCCGGGAGGGGAGAGGCAGTCCACAGAATGGCATGATGATTGGGAAATGCCTACAGGGCGACCAGACGCTGAAGTGGTTCAGGCGGGCAAAAGCTTCAGACAGCACATAAGGATTTTGGAAGGTGAAGTGAACAATTTCCAGAAGCGACGGCTCAGTTAACACATGGGGTTACTTGTATCATTCTGTGAAGATGTTCCAGGCAGATGATCCCAAAGCATGCATGGCAGCGCTGGTATTTTTTGACAATGGTGTGAAGCCGGCCGATTGGCAAACTGCTTGGAGAGAAGTGGCAGAGTTTGAGTGTGAATGTGAAGCAGATGACGCTGCATCACGTGTGGCATCATGCGGGATCCACCTCCGGATGGCTCAGCTGTCCGGATTGAAACGCTTCAACAAAACCAAAATCTCGAAGATATATGCAGATGAAGAAAACGACGGCTGAGAGATGCATTTTTTGAGTGGACCAAAAAAAGAGAACCAGTTCGAAGGCGGGTGACAACCTTGAGCACAGATGGCCCGAGATGTGGTGAGAATACGCGTGCTCGCGTTTTGTGAGTGTTCGTTGGTGTGCGGCCCCTGGTTTTCCCACTCCACCAGCTGGTCTGCGTGCGGGGGCCCCGGGCCCCTCCGCCCTTGTGAGGATGGAGGGTTGGCGCGGCCGTCGCTGCGCAGCGCACCGGTCTCCCTGCCCCGCGTCCTCACGGCGGAGGGGGGGGCCCCAGACCACTGCGGGGAGCCTTCCCACCCCTCCCAAAAAGAAAGCAAAACAGCAAGTCAAAAAATATGTAAAATCATGCAAAATTTGTCGTTTAGCGCCCTGACCCTGAAAGGCCTTAGTGCATTTGACCTTTGGGCCTGGGACGGCGTTGTTCGTTTAACATGTTTTCATGTTACGTTGCTTGTTGCGATCGGCGCCGATGGACGAATTGTATGCAATGCCGTGCTCCCGGCTCAAGCATTTGGGCAGAGCTGCATCGTTGAGCGATGCCTTCTGCCAATTTCTTTCTGATGTCGGTAGCGTGACCACAAACCGCTGTGCCGCCCCAGCAGTAGGGTGCCCAGATTTGGGCAATTTTGTTGGCGGGCGACCTGCCAGGCGGGGGTGTTGGCGCCGGCTTCGCCAAGGAGACTTTGCAGGGTGCCCCAAGTGGCGGCATCGTGGGCGGCAGCGAAGGTCGCGGACGCAGCGGGGGGCAGGGTGCGCAGGAGATGGTGCGCACGGGGAGCGGCGCAGAAGGAAAGTAGGAGCCAGGCGCTCTGAAGGTCCGGCAGTGCGGCGATCTCCTGCAGGAGGTGGGCATGAGACAGGTGAGTGTCCCGGGCCGTCTCTGCCACGAACTCGGGCGATCCGATGGGCGAACCTAGGGCGATGAACCCCCGCTGGGCCGGCGGCAGGTCGCCGCGCCAAACGTCGGGCCCAAGCTCCGCGATCCCTGGCGGCGCGCACCCGCCGGCGCCGCTGTAGACCCGCGTCTTTCCGAGGTTGGAGGCGACCCCGGCCAGACGTTCGACATTGTTGGTCACCAGGTCAAAGGCTGCACGGGCGCGAGCCGGCTGCGTGACAATGTACAAGTCATCAAGATAGGCTGCAAGGACGTCGCCTGGGGCCAAGTGGGCCGCGGAAGCCTCCAGCGCGGCGTGTTGCCCTAGGGAGAACAGGGCCGGCGCAAGCGCGTCTCTTTGTTCACATCCTTCAGCTTGGCGGATGTGGTGGCACGCGCCAGAATCGTCCCACCAGAGGTACGTGCTCGTGTGTGCATAGAAGGAGCGCACGAACGGGACGAGGCGAGGAGCGACCTGCAGGAGTTTGTCCAGGAAGGCGGAACGGGAGACGCAGTCATACGCGCTGCGGCCATCGAGAGAAATGATGACGGCCGAGGGGTCGAGCTCAGAGGCAACTCGCAATGTGGAGGCGAGGCAGTCGGTGCCGGCTCGGGTTTGGAGCGCGAATTGGAAGGGCCGGGTAGCGGCGTCGAAAACCGCGGCATGGAGGCTTGCGAGAGTGCGCGAGACAAGGCGGCGCAGCACATCCCCCGTGGCGATGCCGCGGACCCCGCCGTTTGGTTTCGCGAGCGCGGTGAGGCGAGCCAAAGCGAGGGCAGACAGGACTTCGGGCGGGGCCGCGCCGTTGGCCAATGCAGTGGCGGCCCGGGCAAAGAGCTCGAGTGCGTCCTCATCATCAAGAAGGACTTTGTAGTGTTCGGCGGTGGCGCCAGACAGGCCTGCGGCCGAGCCACGTTTGCTGGTGCGAAGGGCGTCAGCGAGGTCATGCGCAGAGAGAGGGAGTGGAACTTGTGGCTGGTAGTCAAGGACGGCCTGGGAAACGGGCGAGCGCGGGGCTGGCGGACGGCGCTCCGGGTCGGACAGCGCAGCTAAGGTGGCAGCGGTGCCTGGCGCCTGCGGGGAAGAAGTCAGGAGTTGGCGCGCGCGGGAGAGTTCACCGCGGCGGACTTGGGCGACAGCGCGGGCGCGCAACGCGTCGGGCGACGGCGGAGCGGCGCGGGCAGGCGCGGGACCCCGGGCATCGTCGAGGAGGCGTTCCCAACGGCCTGCCTCAAAAGCGGCGAGGCGCTGTAACAGGAGTTCCCGGCCGGCAGGGCCAGAGGCGGCCGTAGGCCGAAGGAGGAGCCGGGGGGTCAACAGGAAGAGTTTCCAAGCGCGGCATTGTTGCTGCGGGGTGGCGCGAGGCGCGGCCAACGCCCGCAGGCTGATGAGAAAGGCGTGTCTCAGCCCAGGGGCCAGGAATCGGGGCACAGACTGCATGGTGCGGACGGGGCGCTCGAACTCGGCGGCGAGGTCGACGTCATCGAGGAAGCGCCCGGAGCCCGGGCGTAGGGTAGCAGGGGGGCTGGAGGCCTCGGGCGGGCAAGGGACCTCGTCGGCGGACGCCGAAGCCTCGGTGTCGGAGATGGTTTCGGCAGGGGGCACCGGCGGGGGGGGCGGCGGGCGCAGCAGGCAGAGCGGCCGCGGTAGGGCCCTGATCCCCTAACGCCGTGCCGGGAGGGCCTGCCAGGCGGAAGGAGTCGGTGAGGCGG